CACTGACGGTTTTTACCGGGCTGACCAAGCCGTCGTACCGGGCTGGCTGGGTAAGAAGAGAAAAGAAAGAGGGGAGAGGGAGGGAAAGAGATAGAAGGGGAAAGAAAGAGAAAGGAAAAAGGAAAAGAGAAGAGAAAGATAAAGACAAGAATAAAAAGGAATATATAATAACAGATATCACAATACTCCTGCCTGCAGCCCATTCTCCACTTCAAAAAGTGTCCATAGCGCATTTGATCTAAGCCGCCAGGTATTCTCCACAGTGGCGTAATAACCGGGGGACAAGGGGAAAATATCCATCTGTGGAAAGTCTTTCCCCATTGAATACCCTTTTCACCAGGGAAAGTGTCTGAAAATCTCAAATTTTAAATCGCATATTTTGTTGAGGTAGGCCAATTTCCTCTAAAAATTGCACATTTTAGGGAGTTTTGATCAATTCCGACGAAATTAGAATTTAAAAAACAAAAAATTTTTCGCGCATTTTTTATATTAAAGCTTGTGCTTGCTCCCCTTTGCCTTCTAAGTTATAACACAGTCCCAAACTCAAGAAAGAAAATTTAAGATAGATCGTTTAACCTATTAAAAAGGGCCTCAATGTGTAATGATGTTGAAAGAATATGTTTGTAATAAATAAAGCCATAAGGAAAATGCTTATATTCAGTTTTAAAAAAACGAGTTTGGCCATATATAACATAAGAGCATTTCTTGTTGAGGTAGGCCAATTTCCTCTAAAAATTGCACAATTAGGGAGTTTTGATCAATTTCGACGAAATTAGAATTAAAAACACAACAATTTTTCGCGCGCATTTGTTAGGGTTAAAGCTTGTGCTTGCCCTCCTTTGCCTTCTAAGTTATTTAAAAACATAATAGTCTCAAAACTTGAGAAAGAAAATTTAAGATAGATCGTTTTACCTAAAAGAAGGGCCTCAATGTGTAATGATGTTGAAAGAATATGTTTGTAATAAATAAAGCCATAAGGAAAATGCTTATATTCAGTTTAAAAAAAAACGAATTTACAAGTGATTAACTTTCATTAAAAACACAAGTTAGTTTTTATACTTTTTGCTACGATAATTTAAATGGTTTGAAAGACAACGGCTGAAGTTACAACATGACCAATAATTAAAAATTTAATAACGGTTTAACTATTTAATGTTTTATTATTTGAATTATTATTATTAGTTCAGCACCACAAACAGTATGTATAAGTTCTACTGTTTTCTCTACTCTCTCCGTTCCACGCGCCTCAGGATATTGGTTAAGTAACAATTATTGTTGTGTCTTCTTAATAATGTAATAATAATAATAATAATAATAATAATAATAATAATAATAATAATAATAATAATAATAATAATAATAATAAAATAAATTTAAAAAAATTGCTCCGGATCATTACTTTCATCCATAACATTTGCGTGCCCCTCTGCTTTACATTTTTATCTTTCATATGATGAAACCTAACCCAAACTCACTATATACATTAAGTGTAGAACAATACGCAAAAAACCAAACATAACCAAATTCATATTTATTATTGAGTTTCATATTACATAAAATTTAAAAAAATAGCTTTACTTTCGTACGTGTTTAGCACTAAGGCATATAGGGCCTATAAACAATGTATGAAATCGGCAAAAAAATCTCGCATATTGTAAATACAATCATTATTTCTACACACTATAGCACGATTGTGTTAAGCCCCTCCTTGAATTGCAAGTGAATAAGGATCGTTGGCGCGCAGTGGTCAAGGTAGACCATAGAGAAAATAGAACAGTTCTATTTTCTCTATGGGTAGACTTGCCACAAGTCTCTTATTTTTTAAATTATTTTTCTCATTCTGGACAGCGCCACCAACGGGAAAGTACGCCAAGTAAATTAGGTATGGCGCGCACTAAGTGCAATAAAGAGTAAGTAACCTAAAATTAGGGCCTGGAACCAAGGCTATGATTAAGGTAGTCTAATCAATTGAAAATTACGCATACAATTTTCTAAATATAATTTGATAGCATTAATAATATTGATGATAAGCCTATACATATATAATAATATTAATGAAGATGACAATAATATAAAGTCCAACACTGCTACCACCACGTCACATAAAGTATATATTTTTATACTATAAGTAAAGAGTACGGCATTTTCTGGTCTCTTAAATAAGCTGCTCATATGTCAAGATACGATCCGTCAATAACGGTCTGATTAACTCAAGATAGAGGACGGCTAACAACATACGTAACAAGTAACAGAGGTATAGCCTATATGTAGCTATGTTTATTACAGTCCACAATATATATAACGTGCAGTTTTGGTTTTCAACGGTGTGCTGTATCTTGGCGCTATCAGTCGGCATTCATTTTAAGTTCTACGATTTTTATTAGTATATAAACTATGGCCTAAAATATCTATCAGCTTTAATGAATTAATAACTACATAGTAACATATCTGGTTCAATGGACTTTCTTAAATAAATATTAGTACTGATTATTGCGACACAAACGCTAACCCACAAAATCGACGAACTTGTTTCCAGTATTATCCTTGGTGAGAGTTGAAGTGTGTGCTATTCAGCTTTTCGAATACGTGAGCAACTTTCAGTAGTTTCTTTTCGTCGAACATTTTTCCAACTAACATCATCCCGATTGGTAGGTCGTCTATAAATCCAGCGTTGATGCTGATGGCTGGGTGGCCAGTTACGTTAAATGTTCTTGTATTAACATTATTTCCAGATGCTGTTTTAAAAAGATCTACAAGATACATAATGAACACATTGAATAATAATCAAATGATGAAGACCACTCTGTGGTCGAAAGCTCGCGTATTAATGCATTTGTTATTAGGGAGCTTTCGATTGCACGACGAAGGTAGGACTAGGACGTAATGACGTCACTATTAGTCATTTGCGCATGCGAGAAAGTTAAGGTCACCTCGTCGATCGAGTAGATTGTGGAACGCAATTTGGCCAAATCTACGTATGCAGAGAACGTAGGACGCCAGGTAGGACGGTCACGCATGAGTGATTCCGTTGTAGCGTCGCGTCGTCGCACAAATCGAAAGCTTACTCGTCACGTCTGTAATGTGCCGTTTGTCTTGAATATACCTGTAAAAGCACAAGGCGTTACTTTCAGTAGTTTGTTCAACCAGTATAAAGTCCTGTCCAGACTATCATATTTTGTTTGACAAAATCATGTGATATGCCTAAATATGGTCATGACGACTAGACTTCACATCATGACCATAATATAGGCGCACCATGACCAAATATGGGTATACAAATATTTTTAACAAATAAAATTTGATAGTCCTGAAATACCGTATGTAGGCGTGATTGGTGTAAGTAGTGTTACAGGTTATTGAAAAATTTATTGTAAATGACCAAACGTGAAGTCCTGTACAAAATGATAAATATCAAGAATAACAACAATTTTAGATAATGATTGTCAAATGATTATCATTGGTTTAGAATTAATAATCTAATATCGATGTATCTTTTTTGGGGATTTTGCTAGAAGGAAATGGAATCGTTGGCATTACAATAAAGTCAACATCTTAAAAAAAACTTTGTCAAATTCGACAGTAAGAAGTCTTGCCAGCGGTTCTGAGCTTTTCAATAATATTTTTCACGGGTATTTATGTTTCATATCAAGAAGCAAAATCAAAAGTCAAGAATCAAGAATACTTAGTCATCGATCAAACAAATAAACAATAAAATTAGCATTTGTTAGTTGCAAAAATACACTTAAAACATTATTAGAATAATGGTTAAACACAAAGTATTAAACTAATGAAATATTAAAACTAAAAGGTATGACAAAAAATGTATTATATTGCATGAGTTGAGTAATTGCACTGAAAAGGTATTGCATTGAATTAAAGAATTAAATTACAAGCATTAAATATAACAAATCAAATATACAAGAGAAGATAATAAATGTGTATAAGATGAAAAAACATATGATATACATTAACAGAGCACATGAACAAGAGTTAACATCCCCTATTACCTGTTAAATATGGCATTAAATATGGATTACATGTGGTAGAAATGATTCTCTGTAGCGTTTAGAATGATATGTTAATGGCCTAAGCCTTCCAAACCTAAATAATTATGTTACAGTGTAATGGATGGTTTACGTATTTAACAATTTTATCCAGCATTTTCAAGGCACTATTTACATAGTTTATCAATGGTATTAAGTACATTGGAATACCTGCCAATAACACGTCCTGCAAAATCTATGGATTTCCTTATTCTACATTTGCTGTTTTCTGTCAGACTGCTAAACCATACAATACAAAACTCAAGATAACACTTGTATATCCGCCAACCACCCAATAAGGCTTAAACATATAAGACAAATAGTTTTAAAATGAACGAAAAAGATAAAATGTCAAATAGCAATTGCTTTATTGCCACTAATAAAATAAATTGTTAGTTTCACGCCCTGCATTTGAAACTATCTTTTTGTGAGGGTGTTTACAATTTTCTATTTACTAGCCTATATACTAGAGGAAAACAGGCTGGTAAATACATTTTCTTTTTCTTTTTTTATTTTTATTTTTTTATAAAAGAAGTAAATAAGAATCTTTCATTTATATTTCCACTTCTTCTTATACTTTGATAACCATTTTTCAGTCTCGTCAGTGGGCAGGACGTGAAACTTGCAATTATAAATGACCAGATGGCAAAGTCCTGTACAAAATGATAAATCTGATAGAATAACAGCACTTTTAGATAATGATTGTTATATGCTTATAATTGGTTTACAATTTTATAACCTGATATCGATGCATCCTTTTTAGGGATTTTCTTAGGAGGAAATGGAATCGTTGGCATTACAATGACGTCAACATCTTGAAAAACTTTGTCGAATTCAGCGGTGAGCAGTCTCGCCAGGTTCTGAGCTTTTCCATAATACTTTCCACGGTATTCATGCTTCATATATTCCCCAACCATCCATTTAAGCTTAAAGTAATTGTAGTTTTAAAATGAACGACCAAACTAAAATGTCAGATAGCAAATAACCTTATTGCCAAAAAAAAATTGTTAGTTTCTCTTCCGGCATTTGAAATTATTTTGGTGAGGGTATTTACAATTTTTATTAACTATCATATACTAGTGGTACACAAGCTGGTAAATAATGATAATAATTGTGTGTGTTTTTTTTTAATAACAGAAATAATTTGAATATTTTAATAGTACTCTGCCATTATATTTCCACCTCTTGTTTGGGTTTGACAGCAATCCTTCAGTTTCGTCATTATTTTTCTACGGACGAGGACGCGAAACCTGCAATAAATTTATTTGGCCTAATGATATTGTGTTCTTGTTTAAAAATCACAGTAAATATTTGCCCTGTTTAATAGGCCTATTAAATTCCTAAAATTCTTTATTGCAAACAGAAAATAATGCTTTTTTTTAGTTTACATGACTGAGGTCTATGCGAAAGTGTCGTAACAAAAAAATAAAAAACACAAAATGGCTAAATGTATAATTCGATCATTTTCAACTAAAACAATTTCCCATGTTGGTTAAACATTATTGAAGGTAGAAATAGCAACTGATTTCTTTGTTTACGTTATGTTTATACAAAATTTATTTATTGTTAAGTACAGAAAAAATATCAAGGATAAAAACCCTTGGGCTTAAAATGAATAATAAAAATAGAACGTATACTCATGCTTACTTTCACTGAAGGCGAGAGTTCATTGGGTTGTGATTGAACTCCTCTAACGACAGCATCCCTCATACTTGTGGAGTAGAATCCTTTACGTCCACTACCATTGCCTTATATGAAAAAATGATAGATCATTATTTTTCCAGTCAAGTTTTGTTACAATCTCTGGAAGTTGAACGCATGCCATGAAAAACTCATTTGTATAAATCAATGTCCAGCTGAGACATAGTTCACTTTTTACTTAAATCAAGTTAACCTATATAGGCACATCACAGCATACAACAGGTTTTTGTCAAATACACTTTAATAGACTGGATAGGCCTTTAAAAATATTGCTCCATTTTTTAATATGTATTAGCGAAATAAAAGAAAACTATGCTACACATACTTGTACAGAATATAATTTAACATTTTGAAGATACCTACTTCCACCTCTAAAAATTGTATCTACTCCTCCGACGCATGCGATACAGGATACAAGATCTACACCTGAAAATAAAAAAACATACTATATGCCTACATATATACATAAACAAAAAGTTCTGATGGTAAAATTCTACCGTTACGAAAAATAAAAATAAATATCAACAAATTTTACAACGAGGAATCCGATACTACAGTATATTCAAATCATTGCTAAAATTCTGGTTTCCATAAAATCGCAACATGCTTGGTTGGGGCGACGCTGATTGGTTGGTCGAATCGGGACGCATTCATTTCCGATTCAGGATTAAAGAAAATTTATTATCCCTAATACATGGAAATATACAGAAAACTGGTTTACTCGGCAAAAATAAAAATTTTAAAAAAGTTACATAAAAACATTACTCGTTAAATGCCGATAAAAATACAATCTTAAAAATAAACATCAAACACTTGAAGGAAAATAAAAAAGCGAAAATACTCATCAAAAAAAATATTCATCGGGGAGAGCTCGATTCTTTGGGGAGAGCTACGCATTGTTAAGAACTGTCCAAACTTTCTGCGACAAAACATATATGACATGTCCATATATGACCATGATGACGTCATATCACATAATTTCGGTGAATACACTGTAGGGACAGTGTAGCAATTTTATAGAAACACCGCTTTATAATGCTGTTAGCAGTAGGTCTACATGTCTTACCGTATGTGTGCATTGGTACCGATACGTCCTTGATTTCAGTGTGAGCTACCTTTACCTTTGATATACATTGTAGAATAAGCTCGTTCACCCTAGGATCAGAATCCCTGTGCTCAAATCCTTCTTTTAGGATGCCAATAGTGAATCCAGTGAGATCAGATGACGCTAACTGAAATTGGTAATGACATTAAGGACAGAACGGCGACGACCAGTACCAACAATAACAACAGCACCACCAACAACAGCAGCAGCAAGAACAGCACCAGCAGCAACAGCAACAATAACAACAACAACAATAACAAAGAGCAACAACAACATCAACAACAAAGATAATATACAAACTTACTACAGTGTCTCTTTTAAAAAATGAAAAAGTAAGAAATATATAAAGAACCAAAAAGTGTTAAAAAAAACATCAACAGCATAGTAACACAGAAGTAATAAATAAAAACAATAACAATTATATCAACATTTTTATATTATACTAACCTCTTCCGTGTACTTTTCTACAGACACATTTGCCGGTTGTCGTGGATCAAGTCCATTGTCGTAACCAGCAATTGCCTAAAATAAAATTAATAACGAAAACTAATTGATTTAATGAAAAAAAATAATAATTTTAATAATATATAATTATACTATATTAATTTATAATAATAGAGTGAAATTGTTCTGTTGATGATGAGGTTCAGAAGAACAACAGACTACAAAGGGGTGACGAATATGATAAGACGGAATCAGTAATGAAGGTCATTATGATTCTTGTGCTAATAACATTTTTAGTAAAAATATGTAGTAGAAATAGACATAAGAAAAGTTCACTGTTTAAATGTGATTTTTTAAATGAAGACATCTTACATTTTGGTTGACTACATATTTTGTAGGCTACCCTGCGATAAAGGTGGAGGGTATTATTGAATGTCATTGCTATGCCGGTAATAGGCATGTTGTTAAAAATGAGAAAAAAAAACATACTGTACGAATGTCAAATGTATTTTAATGGTAACAATCTCCAGGATTTCTTGAATTACCTCTAATAGTAATGCGCAGTCGTAGACTGTCTTTGCCATTGGACCGAGATGATCGATCGTTAGCTCCACGGACTGTGCTCCCGTGTACGGTACAAGGCCATATGTTGGTTTAAGGCCTACGATCCCACAGCAGCTTGCTGGTAACCTAATTGAACCACCCTGATCCCCTCCAATAGCCATGTCTACTTCACCGTTTGCAACCTGTATGATAAAAACAAAATGGGTTCAGTCACTACGACCTAACATCTTTTAACCAGCTAATAATTTGGCGTTTTAATAATATTAAGCTTAGTGCTTAAAAAAGTTTTTATTTTGTAATTTGTCTTGTAAAACAATGAATAGCCTACGTAATATTTAAAAAAAAATAGAAAAAACAACAAATTGCATCTGCACTTTTATGTTTAGTAGTTGTGACTATGTAATACCCTCTATTAGTATAATATAGCACAGTGGTGTACTGCATGTCATTTATGGCCATTTTTACTGGGCCTTTTTTCCGGGGCCTTCTTTTTCTCAGGGGCCATTTTTGCCTACATTCCAGTACAGTGTAGTGCACTGTAATAATTTTCTATGTTTGAAAAGTGTGTAAAATCAGGGAACTTCACTGTTTCCCTGGTAAAATAAGAACAAAATAAAATCACTTAGAGCCTGAATCGGCAAAAAACACTCAGAAACAAAAATTTTACTGGTTCTTATAAAAAAAAAGTGTACTCCAAGTATCGAAATGCACGCCATCGTGTCGAGAGTCAATATTTCGACATTAATTATGTCATCATCGGGAACCTGATGGTGACATAATTGATGTAGAAATATTGAATTCCGACACGACGGCGTGCATTTCGATACAAAGAATACGTACTTATAAGGTAATTTCAAGCTAACGTTGCTTTAACGTCATTTTCTGACATTGCCTTTTAACATAACGTTTTAATTCGTTTTGCATTTGTGTTTTTTACCTGGTAGGCGTACAGCATAAGTGATAAACTATAACTTTTGTGTGCGTGTTTATTCACACTAGCCCTAATGTTATAAGAAAATGTACATTAGACTTTAAAATTTAACAAGGACGTTGTTGTATTTATTACTAACCAAAACTGCACTGCCAGAGCTCGATCCCCCAGCATCATGAGTGTTATTGTACGGATTCAAAACAGGTCCTCTAGCACCGTTGAAACTCATACCAAAACAGCAAAAATCTTCACAAATAGATTTACCTTTTATTACACCACCTATTTAATATAAAAAATCAGATAAGAACCCCTAAGTATAACGATGGTCAATCTCATGGCTAACTAGATAAATTTGAAATGTGGCAATGACAAAATGAATTAGTACACGTTACCTCCCCGCATACTTACCTGCATCAAGTATCCGAGTCACTACCGTAGCATCAAACTCTGGAATATAGCCCTCAAGAACCCATGATCCTCCCATCATGGGAACTCCATAAACAGCTACATTGTCTTTGATGGCTACACTTTTTCCTTTCAGGATACCTTCAGACACGCCCTCAATGTTAGTTTTCCAATACCTTTGTAAAGCAAAAAATATATATATAACCCCAAACGTCATACTTAGTAAACCAAATGAGGGATTGATAGTTACGGATTTGTGTAAAATATTAATGAGTGTAATTTAACATAATTAAATTGTAAATTTAGTTAAATTTAGGTTTGTTGATCTATGTGAAACCAAAGATACTAGAAATACAAGATAGAGTTCTCCACACAAAAAGTGTTCCACCGAAATGCATGGTGGAAATACGAAAAATGGGACGCCCCCTACAGCTGGATCTAAAAAAACTTGTGCCAAACTTTCGTTACCAAGTCGTCGCGTATTTTATTATCAATTCTCAACAAAGATACTAGATATAAAACCAAACTGGAATAGACACCCAGACAGTGACATCGGTGAATACATAACCTCCTTGGTGGCGGTAGAAATCGGTGCTATTATCCAAATAATACACAAAACAATTAAAGCATAATCATGAATCAGTAAAGAATAAAACAACAATACAGCGCAGAATCGCATGGCCGGACGCACTCTTAGTGAAAAACCTTTCCTCCATTAGTGGAAAAAGGAAGGGCGCCTTTTGCGTCTGGATATACTTAGCAACAGAAGGGCGCCCTGTACGTTGGGCACGAAGTATAGGAAACTTACAAGGTTAAAAAGAAGGGCGCCGCCAACGTTGGGCACGACTTCCGCCTCATTTTTACAATGCGAGAACTCTATCTTGTATTTCTAGTATCTTTGGTGAAACGAACTTGAGTGTCTCGAAGTTTCGACTGAGTTGCTCCAATGTCATCAAGAGACTTAGTCTTATATAGAGCATCTTGTGTTATATTTGTCTTCTGACGGGATTGACACTTTAAACGAGTGACTAAGTACACTGTTTGGCATATCCTTGTTTCTGGTGCTTAAAAGCTGAATAAAAAAATAATGAAAATCCAAAAATATTGTTGATTTGTTCGGATTCTTTACAGATATTATTCCCCTCATGACGACTGAAGCAACTCATTCAAAACGTTAAAATACTCAACAAAATCAACAGTTCTCTTGGAAGCATCTCGTGGTGCACTGCAAGCATTTAAGTTAATGCTGAGGTGAATACCTATCTGATGCCCTACTAACAGACCTATGCACGTTCTATCATCCCTAACTTAAATTAGGACAAGTTTTTCAATATGCAATGAATAAAAATTCAAAGTCCATTCTGACGCCTTCATGGTTGTACAGATTTGATGATCAAACATACTTGGTCGTTACCAACAGATCAAAGTGCGTCTATGCGTGCACTATTCGGAAATTTCAGTAGTATTGGCACAAACCGGAAATACTAATTATGGAGATGGTCCAAATAATGTTCTGGTTCCAGTAGATGTTAAAACTAAACGAAAGTAACAAACGGATTATTGAAATTACTTTTTAATAGTTCCAGTAACCTGAAAAAACTTTCAACTTCAAATAATATAAGTTCAAAATTAGCCAGAAATCTATAGCTATCTGCAATTGAATGAAATAAAATGATTTACGTTTATAGACCTATTATAAATTGACGAAAAAAAAGATCTAGGCCTACACTAAAAATGATAATCTACCAAGCATTTAGAGGATTTTCCTCCACCGGCGGCCTATATCCAGGAAGTCTTGGATACTTCACTGGCAGTGTCGGCTCGGGTATGTTCTCCACGGCATTAAAACTTTCCACAAATGTCTTCATTAACTCTCTATACTCCTTAACTTCTTCGTCACTCAGATTAATTCCAATGCGCCTGGAGAGCTCTTCGACCTTTTTTATATCAGGCATTCGAACAGATGGAGAACTATACAGATCACCTGTTACAACGAGTATTTTTGAGTTATACACCTCACGCTTGGGTTTAATTTAATTAATAATCAAACGTAATTATTATTATTATTATTATCATTATTATATATATATATATAATATAGTTAGTCCAAAATAATAACAGGGTAATTACATGAACAAAAAATAATCACGTAGTCAATATATCAATTAGGAAAAGATCGTAATTAAGCCCATAGTTTCCATAAAACTGCTACACGCTATCACCGACAGAGTATGATGACGCTGATTGGTCAATTAAGTCGGTAAGCCTTATTAATTATTGCGTCGGGGGCCGGACAGCAATGCAGTGTAAGCATTGCAGTTAAAAAAGATAGCGTCAGTGTAGCGATTTTATAGAAACCAGGATTTACAAGAGTATGCAAATGACATACCTTGAACAAGTTGTTCAGAGCTGCTTATTTTTTTTTCTTTTGAAAAATTGAACTTACCTGATATGTTCAAGAAACTGTCATATTTATTCATTATTCTGCCCTTTTCTTCAATCTATAAAATCAATCATTAAAATCGTAACGTTGCTGCGGATCAGTACCGGCAATGCAATTTTTCGTGAATGAACTATTTTTGTTTTATAACAGGCCGATTCGCTTCAACGCTCTAATTGGATAAATACAATTTAGTGCAGGTCTAATTGCTTTGAAAGATGAAAGGACAGATTAGCGGTCGACCTTCCCGCAGCGGAGCACCGGTTCGTAGTTTCGTAATTTAGCCAGTGTAGAATAAGGGCAATTGCCATGTCATCGAGCTATGATCTTATGTAATCGGTCTTTCCCTTCCGTTTTCCTTTATTCATTTACTTAAAATGTATCTCGATGTAATGGTTTTACTTTAAAAGGTGAATAAACTTGAACTTGCACTATTGATTTGATAGTGAATTGCACAGCAATTTTACAAGTTCACCATGAGGGATGTTTTGCCTATAATACCTGACGTGTTTTTGTTACTTTTATTAAATGTGGCATTTCTACATTACAACGTATTCACTGAGGTTTCAAGTTATATCAGACAATTGTGACCAAAATACCACAAAAGGGTTGTGAACTCGTACTCTATCAAAATGGTTTTTAATGTAAATAAATACTCATTAACTTCATAATGAGGGCTCAATGATCTCAATCGGACAATTATAAGTAAAGTTAAACTATTTTGAATTATAATTATTCCCTATAGTTCTGTGAAAAGGCTTTAGAAGCACTGAAAAAATTGAAGTAAAATCACAGCAGTAGTCAAACAAAACTCCATAGCAACAACACAGTTCTCATTGAGCTATTGCGATGACATTTTCTACGGTCGCTGGAAATAGGTTGAGGAACAGAATTTATTTTTATTTTAAGTCCATAGCCCCGGGGGTTAATTAGTAATAGGCCTACCCCGGGAAAAATTTGTTATACCTTTATAATGCTCAAGTACCCAATACTGATTATTGTATCCCAAATGTCCTGATAAATTTCAAGATATGAACTGCTTCGTATCTTTTGAATTCAATGTTATTTTCTTCATTCAGGTATATACTAAATATGTGTAGTCCGTACTCTGGTGCTATGCCCTACAAAATACTTTTGAAAGATATTTCTAAAGCAATTCTAATGTCGGCACGCACGTTATTGTTTGATTAGTTGTTTAATTATTTTGTACACGATTTGAATGAAGTTGTGTAAACATACTTCATCAATACCTTTTAGTTCTACATCGCTGAAAATAGTACCGATGATTGTTCTATTTGCGTCAATATTTTTGTAAACTTTCAATAACCACGACTAGTTTCAACCGCAATCTACATCACTTCTAATCCGCTTCACTGAAATACTTTTGAAACAAACTTTAAAGTTTGTTAAACTATTTTGTACATTTTTGTTTGTTCATGAATACATTTAGATTTAGGCCTACCTCACTGCAAAGAACCGAAATATTCTCAGTAGGTCTAGCCTGGCTCTGTGACCATTTTACTACTTTATAAATATACTGTTTGTTTCTTTAGAAATCACACAAATATAATATACGAGTACTAATAAACGTATTATTATCTGATAGTTTTCTTTTATCTAGTTGGGGGTCTGAGTAGTGAATAAGTTTTCAATGGTCTAATGTACGTCTGAGGAGGTTTTATTCTTCTTTTCTTTTTTCTAAACAGCCATACAATTGGCGGTGGAACAATTCGAGAGTGATTAATTACATTAGGACTAATGAGAACGAAGTGGACCATCATGGTTCGTCTGGTTTTATTAATAGTTTTTAGTGAAAATATGCGGGCGGGGCGGAGTGCGTTGGCAGGGATTTAATTTTATAATATTTGTTTTCAATCTTTTTTTATTCAATATTTCACACGACGCTCCTCACAAGGCACAGCCTTAGCATCGAGGAGCCTCCAAACATATCAATACACCTCATCTGCAGAATTGTATGTGTGGTAAAAACCCCACGTGGATACGATAGGATTTTCGGATGTTTTGACTGTTGGTTGAATTATAATAAAGTTTATTATTGTTACCTGTTCATATGATATACAAGCGGTATAAGAGCTGATAAATTAACCTTCTTAAACGAAAATTAAGTTTGCCAATCCTAACCGATTGCCCGAAGTAAACAAACACCAAGCAACCAATTGGAACGCTTATAGTTTTCTTTCGTCCTTAAATACCATGTTTACATTATTAAGAATTGTTTTATTGGATAAAACTGATGGAATATTACCAAAAATAGAATTAACACATCACATTATACAATAGATAATTATATATTTTACAGAATAACAAAATATGGCCAACGGTGCGTTGTTTGGAATCGAAGTATGGCGGCTTGAAAGTCGGTGAATTTATTTTTAAATGAATGCAAATTTATGACTGTTTATATACGTTTCTCGTAGAATGGCCTTCATAAAATGACTAAATTTTAGGGTTTAAAGTTGGAATATTGAACCCGACCTAATCATTCTTTGCCTAATTACATGTTATCTGTCAATTTGACCCTTTTTCTAAAAACCTGGTGATGCTAGCCTTCAGCCATTTCGCGGTTTTGGGTCACAATTATTTACAATTCCAAATGTTAAATATGTAGATTAGGATCATCCTCACAGTCAATGATCGTTGTGCGTAAGGCAAACACAAACTTTTTATGATGATCAATCCTTCGCTTTTGCATCATCTCACTTCTAGAAAACTGTCTTCTCGAATATATAATGCTATCTGCAACATTACCTGACCAATTGTAAAATGTATATCTTCACAACATCAATTTAGACTGCATTTTTTTCTTGGGGACACCATCACAAATGTCCTGTACTTGAAGGGCAAATTCGTATCTCATTCCTCTACTCGAGCCACCAAGATAGGGTCAAGGATTGGGTTAGGTTGGTGACGGTGACCATCAGAGATTCGGTATACAGTGTTTGTGGCGATTCTGCCAGGACCGGGATCAATAATAGACATCCATACACAGTGAAAGATCACACAGAGAGACAGACACATTTGTTTCCATCCTCCATCTCTCCTCTTCATCTCATAAATACAGCCCTCTCTTCCAGAGGGCGCCCTGCTCGTGGCTGACATATTCATTATATTCATTTTGTTTTGCCATTTCTTCGTGTTTTCTTTTTTGTGTTTGTGTGTATTTGTTTATCTAAATATTTTATTTATTTTATAATGTGAAGCAAAGGGAGTTTTTCGTGCATTATGAGCTTGAAGTCGACAAGTAAATTATTACTATTATTATTAGAGTCGCAGGAGTATCCTAGGTAGATGAAATACTTTTTTCTTCATTTAATATAACAAACGTTACTAGGGCTAGAAACCAAATAAACAAGTACTTTCGGCATTTTTCGACAACATTTTCAGTAAAAGTAAACAGATGCTTATTCTGGCATTTCAGACCATAATCAAGTCTCCAAATTTGGGAAGATGTGGATTTATAAGGTCAAAAATATCATTTATATTCATAATAAGACAAATACAATATAGAAACATGTACAATATGTTCTGATCTACGTTCTGGTTATCAGAGTTCAAATGTCCAAAATATCATTTCCAGTCACATTTTGACAATATATTGCATTAGAGCAAATAGATACATGTACGTTCCGAATACTTTGAGACCATTCTGAGATATGCCTGTGCTACAGGGTACGTACTGTAGTTTAAAACGTCAAAATTTCATTTCCAATCTCTTTTTGACAAAACGTTACAGTAGTTCAAATACCAACATGCATATAATTGTACATGACCAATGGTAATAGAGGTATAGATAAGCTGTAGGATCATTTGGGTCAAAGGTCAGAAATGTCATTTTCTGTCAATTTTAGACAAAATGTTGCATTAGTGCAAATAGAAATGTATATGTTGCGAACAAATTTAGGTTAAACTTAGGTCTCTATGACCAACGGTTATAAATATATAAATATCTTACAGGGTACCTATGGTTAAAAGTCATAAACTTTTCTGGTAAATATGTTGTAAAATAGAAACGTGCAGTTCTGAAAAATTTGAAGCCAAAATCAGGTCTATATGTCTAACAGTTTTGGAGATGTGGATATGCTGGATCATGTAGGCGCAAAGGTAAAAAATGCCATTTCCGATCATTTTTGGACAAAATCCTACATTAGAGCAAATAGAAATAGACTAAAATTAAGTTTGTACGATTTTCCGTTGCCAATATACAGTATATAGATCCCATATTTTAGAGGCGGTCAAATTCAAAATAGCGACCATATAGGCGTCAGAAACTTGGAGCAAAACTTTTTTTTACACATATTAAAGATATTTTGTACCAAGTTTCATGCTTTGGTAGTAAAGTGTACAACTTAGCCCTTATTTGCTCTACTAAAATGCGCAATTTGGTGCTTTAACTGCTGTACTACAACATTAAATTAGGATTTTCAATATTTTAGGGATTTAAGTGCTTAGGAAAATTTTTACATTGGCGGTTGACATTTGAGGTAAAAAGGGAAATTTTTACATTTGTAAGTGAAATTTTTTTACATTTATGGTTAAACAGATTTTTACATTTGTGGGCGATTTTTTTTTTTTTTTACAATTGTGGTTGACATGTTATGACATTTGCGGTTATTTTGACATTTGCAGGTAGAATGTTTTGACATTTGTGGTTATATTTACATTTGTGGTAGATTTTTACATTTGTGGGCTCTACAGGCCTAAGCCTGTCTGACCTAATATTATGAAAATATAGGTGAATCGACTTTCTTGAAGAAAATATTTTCAATATAAATGCTTCTTTTACGCATAGCCTCGCTCCCCAAGGTGTGATTTTTTTCTCTGAAAATTGATAAGTAGTCAGTTTGAATCGGCGACAATGACGACATAAAAAATTAAAATATATTACCATTTCACCTTAATTAGAAATTTTCATCGGGAATTATAAAATTATTAATTATGCATATAATCAATTAGCATATATACAGACGTACCACAAAAAAATACAAAAAAAACCGTCTTCCTATTATCACCTTACATTGTGCAAAGTTTAAAACCAGCCTACCAAACTTTAGTTACTGTGGTAACTAGCCTAAATTACCTAATTAGTGAAATATTAATTATGCAAATGAACAATTAGCATATTCAACACCATAGGCTCCGTCTTACTTATTACCATCCTACATTCTGGCAAGTTTGAAACCAATCGAACTTTTCAAACTTTAGTTATCATGGTAACTAGCCGGAAAAAAATCTGATGATAGTCAAATAATAATTACGCAAATGAACAATTAACATATTCACACACGTACCAAAAATAATGCTTCGTATTCCTATTACCATTTTGCAAAGATTGAAACTAAACTTACCAAACTTTAATCATGTAACTAGCCTAAATTACCTGATTAGTGAAGTACTAATTATGCAAATGAGAAAATAGTTTTCAGACATACAAGCTTTATTAATACAAGTCTCCCTCCAATTAAAGACCACTTTTGGAAGCAGGGTTTCCAAGGTCTTTAGCAGCTTTGGTCTATAATTAGAATAATAAAGATAAAAGACATTTGTTAATTTGGGACCACAGAATAGTGGTCTTCAATTGGAGGTGGTCTTTAATTGGAGGGGTCTTATATTGGACGGAGACCAGTAATTGTTTATAATGTTCATGCCAAAAATAGTACTTACCTTCTTGATACTATTCAGCATGTTTTAATGACAGCCAGCTGCAGTGGACTGTGACATTGCGTCGCAGCTTATAAAGCAATTAGCGCGCCACACGATTTCAGAAATTCTAGATTTGCATAAGATACATATGGAAAATTAGTCTTACAATAAATGAGTGAGTGCGCCAGCACGAGTTTTGTCACGGTGGAAAATGGAAAGTAGCTTAACATTTACAAATTGACCTGGGACTGCTGACCTGGGACTGCTGACCAGGGATAGAGGGGTTATCACACTAAGTTCATCAGCGTAACCTTCATTATATAACCGAATAGCACAAGGCAGAAAAGAGTTTCTGTATCCGTCTGTCTTTACCCGTATATGGACAAATCTGCCTGTTTTACTTGACGTTCACTTCAGCATTGATTTCTTTCTGCATACATAACACATAAGGTAGTGTGACTTTGGATGAAACACGCATTTTTCAAAAACACATGCGTGATCAAATTTGTCACGAGTTTATGCGTGAAGTGATAAGGAATTATCACGAATTGAGGGGAATTGCATTTAAAAATAAGATTGTAGCCAATGTGGCTCTCTCTGAAATCGTTTCAAAACAGCTTAAAATTGCTCAGATCGTCCGAGCGCCAAGGGGCTTCGTCCCTGGTCCCCGGTGACCGCCACCTTCCCCCAGCGAACTGCTACAGTTACACATTTCAAATCTCTCACTGCACTCCAGCAACAAGAAGACAAAATAGCTATATGTACAGTAAGCCTCATAATGCAACTGTCATAGCTGTCTTTTCTCTTATTTGAAATACCCTTGGTGTACACCATAGTGTGTTGTAAAAGTCCAATTTTAACGCAAAACTTCTGTCTGCCATACAAAATGTCATCCCCCAGCGCGCTCCCCCTAAATACGCCACTTTTATAGAACATATACATGTATATTTCATGTATTTTACTTTGAACCAACTGAGAAACTTTATACAGCTCTTTGTCTATCCCGTCTTTGAATTTTTATACTTTGTATTGTTATTGACGAAATAAAGAAATAAAAATATATTATTAAAGTATAGGCCTATGTATAATACATACGAAATTAAACTTACATCGATCATTCTCCGTAGAAACAAACAAGAGTAATACTGCATTACATAAATAGAATCAATTTAATCTCTGAATGACTTCCCTGGTTGAACTTCAGTTGACTCGAGGAAAATAAACTCCAAATTCCATTTACTGCCGGGGTAATGAACTTAACGTTTTATTGGTGATTTAAATTTAAGGTCACTATCAAGCCTAATTAGTTTACAGTAATTGTTTACATGGCCAGTGAACGTCACTCTATACAAACATCCTAAATTATGATTCTAAATTTCACTTAGATAAACTTTGTGATAAGGATATACCCTTTGTGCTTCTTTTGCTTAACTATTCTAAACGTTGCAACTTACTCCCTCCCCTAAGGGTGAATACTTGTTATACCATGTGAAATACTAGATTTATTTTTCTAGTTGCAGAATCAGAAGATATCAGAGCAGCCTTACTTTATTAACTTAATACACTCAGTCGATTTGTAACATTCGTCTGACTTATGGGTTTGGTATAGGCTATAACTAGACAATCCATTCATTCATGTTTTAAATTTTTGTTTTAAATAAAATTTTTGATGTATTTATTTACGTCCCATTGTGCAGTATTTATATTTTTATTTCTTCACATATTTATTAATTAAATTTATTGTTTAATCTTTATTTGCTACACCAATTTAATGTTGTTTTCAATGTATATTAAAATTTAATAATTTAAATAATATTGTTTTTCTTTTAATAAATAAATGTACGGCAATTATAATGTATTTAATTATTTATTCAATAAAACAATAATAACAATAATAATAATAATAACGATAATAATAATAATAATAATAAATAATAATAATAATAAAAAAATGTTTTGAAGTGTATATAATAAGTTAACAATTTAAATAATATTGTTTGTCTTTTAATAATATAATTGTACGATAATTTTAATGTTATTATTCAAATATTATTATTATACTTATTATAGTCACGATTGTTTTGTTTTGTACTATTGTAAAATTCTATGGTAAATAGGCCTAATTATTTTTTTTTTAAGTAAACGTAATTCGCTGACATGGGATAAGTTAATGATTTTTTATTTGAATAAAGACCATTTTATATATGTTCCGTGTGTTGAAGACGCAGTTGACAGGAAATACTTGCAGAGAATGGCAGCAAAGGCAGATGGGGGAGATTAAAACTTTCTTGCAAACGTTCTATAAGCAGCACAATCTTAGCATAGGTTGCCTGCTTTACTTAATTATATTCCGGATCTTATGACGATATTTAATCCGTCCTGCCATTGATTTCTCAGCCTTACCATTAGTCTTTTTCCTTGTGGTTTCCAATCCTGTTGAGTCTTTAGTAGGAGAAATCCGTCTTACGTGGTGTGTGCACCTTTCTACATTGCCAAAGCAAACATTCGCAAAAGTTGAGGTATTATGTCAGAAAATAACGTTAACACAACCACCTTCCAGGCACTATTCTATGCAGCAACGTTAACGTTAAGTCAGAAATTACGTTACAATTACGTGGTTTTACAAATGAATGTTTTGAATATTACAACGTTATTACAACGTATTATAGTAAAAGCTGCGAGATGATAATGGGAATTAGGTTCAAGGTGGGTTTGAGTGATAGAGATACTAATGCGAGTTAAGTAAATCAATGGCAGGGAACATGGGACAAGAAAGGACCAGTGCAGGGTGCAGGGGCGAAGGCGTTTACAAGAAGGTTGTGGAATTAATATGGTAGAATAATGTGGACAACGTTCCAGGTTCTATTCCCTGGAAAAATGTCTAATCGATGCTAAAAAAAGTGCTATCGTATTTAGTGCTACACCCACCACCAAAAAATTATAGTATAGATATTGATAGTAACTTTGGTGTGGAGATACATTTCCAGTGGTGATAATTAAAGATGATAATGCATATCTGAGAAAAACCTAAGTCCCGGTTATCAGAAAGTCTTGGGACACAGTATCAGTTTAGATATTATAGACAAAATTATATTTATATAGGCCCTTTAATATAATAAAGATAATAATAAATACTCAGATTGTGTAACATTGATTTTGGAAATAATTTATTTCAACAAAAATTGTAACTACAGTAACATAATAATTATGGTACTAAATTGAGGAAATGAGTAGTACATGTAGCGATAATCTGGTATTATATAAACTTTTATATTTTCAGATTGTTCGTCAAAGTGATGTTCTCATTGTTTATATTAAAAAGAAATTTGTGGCAATCTTCACAAACTTACGTACAATTTCATGTTCATTAACAAAGTGGTTTGTTGCATGCATTTAAATGTAGATATAGTAAAGTACATACATAAAATAGTATTATTACTTCCAATGGATACGATTGTGCGCTACAAAATTGTATTACAGCTAAAAAGGTTTAACCCAGTAGTGACGACAGGATTTGGCCGACAGAGAGGCTGATTCCATCGACGGTAGGGGAATGGACACAGGGGCTGGATTTCCCAGACGGGAAGGGATGATTTCACTCAGCGATAGCTGCATGGGCTTGACCAGGCGTCGTTCGGTCAACAACAAGGTGGGTGGGGGGGGGGGGGGGGGGGAATCCTTCGGAAGTTATAACAATTTAGGGATTTGAAAAGCTTATTAATGGATTGTAATGTCTAACCGTAAGTAAATATATATATAAAATTTCGTCGGACAAAGGCCACCCCTGATTTACATACTTCTATTTACCAATCAAACTGGTGATCTTATTTAATAACTGGCTTCCAGATGTATCATGCTGAACGTAAGACATGAAGATATCCCAGAAAACAACAACAGTGTTAACGTATAACACCCGATAGCGAGATGGAACATACAAGAAGTTAATACTCTGAGTAACTGGCCAAACAAAACAATCAATCTGGGGGCAAAAGTACAAAGAAAATATTATAAGAATATGTAGGCCTAGCGTAGGGCCCTAAATTTAAAAAAAAATGTTTTTTTTTTCCGACTGCACGATGACTGTATGATGTAGAACGTAATATAACGTCACTAAAAGTCATCTGTGTATGTGAATTCTAGGAAGTAAATTGGCCAAATCTACGTATACAGGAATGTAGGAGGCCCGGTAGGACGATCACGCATAAGTAATTCTGTTCTAGCCTCGTCGAACAAATCGTAAGCTCCCTTGGTCAAAACTAACTCCGGCTATATAAAATTGATTAGAAGATTGAATAAAGTTATTCTTGTTAATGAATAGATAAGGATTACTACTAATCTACGTAAATTTACTTTCAGAGTTTATGTTATATTGTGTCGAATATATGAAACATGTAGGCTGCCGGCACCTTGACCTTAGTGCCAACAAATTTTCACAAAAACATGATGCAATAATGACAAAATTATTATTGTTTATTTTCGGTAAATATTTTCAGTCTCTCCAAATTTCTTTCCTATTCTTCTTTCTTCCTATGCTTCTTCCGTTTTTTCGTTAAATTTTATTCAATACACTAAATACATATTTACGCATAATATGTATATAATTAGAAATTAGTATATCATTTCGATACATATTTACATATTTTAACTGGACTCTTAACTAGGCCTGTGTATACATTGTCTGTATTTAACATAATTCAATCTTATTGCTTTATTTAAATACTGTAGTATCAAATATTATTAAACTTTAACGGTTATATTATTTCATATAATAGATTTTTTCAAATAAATATCCAAACAATTTTCATTAAGGAAATATAAACTCTGAAAGTAAATTTACGATAAATTCTGAAAATAAATTTACGTAGATTAGCTCAATACAAATTTACATAATAAATGAGGGAAAAAAATCATCCATCCAACTGTTAGTGACGCAGGCACTGTCTGGGAGTTATGAGGTATTAGCACCCACATAATAATCAGGGGCGGATCCAGGATTTGAAAGACGGTGGTTCAAAATGTCTCAAAAAAAAAAAAAACCCAAAAGGAAAGGGGGTCGTGGGTACCTCCCCCGGGAAAATATTGATTCCTAGAAAGCCGAAAATGAGCTTCTGAGGAGTCTTTTAATGACCTTTTAAGTTCATCAAAATTCAAGATTTTTCTCCTCTTGAAAAGATCAGGTAATTTTATCTCAGTCTTCATTATGCCTCTATATAGAGAAAAAAAAATCAAAGAAACAGTGAGTTGATTTCCCGCACGATTAAAAATCGTAACGTTACTGGGTTTGGTCTACAGGAGTTCGTGCTTCGAACAGGTCATTCCATTCATAGAAAAAGCCTTTTGATGGAGAAAGTGTACCTTTTTAGCAAGGTTTGCCTAGGTCGAAATGATATACTTTTTTGTTTTGAACCACCTTCTTTCAAATTTTGGATCCGCCCCTGATTACTATGTGGGTGCTAATACCTCATAACTCCCAGACTGTGCCTGGGTCACTAACAGTTGGATGGATGATTTATTTTCTCATTTATTATGTAAATAATGGATATTAAGGTACATAAAGATGGATGCTTTCCTCATCATTTATACCTAACTCTCATTTGCTTGTGAAAGTATTTGAAGTTCGTGTGGAAAAATACAATGTAGTACAATATTTTGAAAGTTACTTTGGTGTTACCGACTATTTCTGTACTACTGTTTTATACATTAATTTGTTTGACTGAAGAGAAGACAACGTTATATTTACATACTAGACTGAGCAAGGGCTGGAGAACATAGGGCCTAATAGTCAAAGCAAACACATCATTAACTACACTATATGTTCTCATTTAATAAAACATATATAGAATACCAATGTATGGATGGATGAATGTTTATAATGAATCGTCGTCTTCTAGTATAAGGATGCCTATTAAATATTATTTTTCTATATTATTATTATTATTATCTATTATATATTATTTTTTTAACCAGCTTTCTGGTTTTCCACTAGGCAAATTTATTCGCGCGAATCAAAGCGTCGGTTCGCTTCCAGAGCTCTGATTGGTTGCGCATATTTTCCCTTCGCAAAAACTCCGACAGGAATGTGAATGCGCGTATGAACCGACGCTTTCCATTCGCGCGAATAAATTCGCTTAGTGGAAAACCAGCTTTACATACTCTTTGTATAAAAGAGTAAAAAAAACCCAAATGCTTAAAAGCTACAAAAGAGCGCCCTCAACAGTTGTGTTATGACCAACCATGCATTTCTAATGAGGTTTTTACATGACCTCATAGACGCGTGTGAATTCTTTATATCTCGGTAGGAATAACGGAATAACTTGGGAGATGGCTCGGTTAATACAATTTATCACTTTTTGTTGAATTTAACTTCACATGTGAATCGGATATTAGTGTTTGTTATTTTCCTAAAAAACGTACGCACACGTGTGTATTCGAAGAACACGACCTCTTCCTTGCCTGTTCTGATCGCTCATTTATTATGTTTGGCCATGAATGTATTATAGGGCCTAGTACATTATTATATACGGTACTATTTGAATAAACGCTTTTTTTTCTCTTTATTATCATATTAATAATATTACTATTATTACTATCATTATTATTATTTCGTTGTTAGGAATTTTCATTTTTTTTAATTATTTTAATGATGTAATTATTAATAATAAGTTTAATTTTGCAATCTTTACAAAATTTTTGTAATTTCATTGTATAATGTTTCCTAATTAATTGTAGTATTTTATCATCTTTTTATGTAAAACACACTGAACAGGTGTAAATCTGAAATATAATATAATAATATAATTATTTATTATTATTATAAATATTATTATTACTATTACAATTACTGTATTATTATTATATTTGTTAATTATTATTATTATTATATTATTATTATTATTATTATTATTATTATTATCATTATTATTATTATTCTAAACATTGTCTATATTCTAAACATGTTTATATCAGGGAACAGTGAATTGTTCTCTGGTTTATATACCGTATTCCATATATGAGGCATGTTGTGGCGAAATGGTTAAGTTGTCGCACGGTCCAGTATTGAGTAAATGAGCTATAAACTATGGGAGCTCAAAATATTGCTTTCCATTAACTTTGGCTTGAAATGTCCAATTTGAATGAATGACCCCTCATTTTAAAGATCACATACTCAGGTATCTGAAAATACTAATAACTTGAATTTCAATTTTTGCTAAAACTAAGCCATTTTGCCACAACATGCCTCATATATGGAATACGGTATATAAACCAGGGAACAATTCACAAAACAGATGAAATTCATAAAACAATGCTTGTACATTTTACTTTATTATGCATCGATAATTAATCAGAATCCTTTTAGGCCAAAATAAAGTACAGCTTCTTAAGTCTGTGCCTACTGGTAATACTGGTGTTTGATATTTCAGTACATTACAATTTGACCTTTTAATTGAATGATATATATTCAGTCACTGGTATACTGTATAAATTAAAAGATATGTGAATACATCATCTGGTAACGATGAAATGCTCCTGTATAATATCACACATTAGATTTGCATGTATTGAATAGGCCTAATGTAGACCTGTTGAAGATTGGAAATACAGTAACCCCAAGGACCAGAGCATGTAAGTACACAACTTCACCGGTGAGCCTAAATCATTCACTAGATAGGAAGCATGCCACCCCTCCCCCCCTACTGCCAGTAAATCACTGCAGCGTGCCTAGCATAATCCTACAGTATCCCAGACTTGCATATTACTAACTACAGATTGTTCACACACATAATCAAAAACTTTATACACATTTCATCCATCCAAAAAGAGAAGAGATGTGATTATCTTCATAGACACTTCCTGTTAAAGACCTGTCCAGCCTACTGACATTATCAAATTTTATGTTGACAAAAACATATAACATGCCTATTAAAATATGGTCATAATAATATCACATCATGACCATATTAAATGGGCACATCATGACCATATATGGGCAAATGTTTTTTAAACATTTATAGTACTTTCATCATAAAAATTATGTTGTGAATTTCTTGATAACATTTAAAAAATGTAACATCAGAATACGAAATGAATTTAATATTCAGTATCCGCAATTCACAATTTATTTCAGTATATTTTCAAATGGTCTAGGCTGTACTCCAGTTAATCAGCTAATAACTGAGACGTGTCAAAAGTTCCTTACTTTTTTTTTTCTTTGCACATTCTGGACAGCCCCACCAACGAGTAAGTTAATTTAGAGACGGAATAAAAAATCCAGGTATGGGACCCCAAATGAATATAACATGGCACGCACTCATAAAATAGTAAGTAACCCGAATTTAAGGCATGGAAACCCGGCTACAGTACTATTAATAAGTAGGCAAATCATTAAACAGTGCTACACAAGTTCACACTATTACCACTCCCACAACACATGGGTCTTTGGAACAGTATTGTCAGAATTTCTATGCATTATAACTGTATCTGAACTACTTTAAAACCACATCAAGTCACTCTTAAATAAAAGCACCTAGATTCAAATTTCCATTCATATTTTTTTGCATTAAAACGTGCAATAATTATACATTATTAAATAAGTAATAAATACATATATTGCATTGTAATAAGATGATTACTGAGGTAACGAGATTTGTATTGAAAAATCGACCCCTGTGTGACCAGCAGCTGTATCAAAGGTAGAGTACTGAACACTCTGTTAAAATGACATTAACCAATTTTTACAATACTAATTCCAGAATGCCATTGAATGAAAACAAATTTTTAAAACCTATTTTGGCAAAAAAAATTATCAAGTATGGTACTGCTGAAATTTATCAGTATGCAATTTTTCTTTCACTTGAAAGTTTTATGATTTTAACATAATAATAGCAATTTCTCCTGACCCAAAATCGTGATGGATCAGCTTTTTTTTTGTTTTTGCAAAAATATATTTTCCCCCTTTAAGGAAAGAATTTTCCACTACACCTTTTTTTCATGAATACACTACTGATAATCATTATTACATTTTTTCCTATATTTGCGATTTAATTTTTGTTTTTACACAGAATTTTTTAAATATAGCATTTCAGATTCAGATTCGATTCCAATTACCGATTAGATTACCCACAAGGTATTCTTTATAGGATATCCCACGGTAGGATATTTAGAAGGGCATAGGAGCACAATCAATTACTTTTTACATGAGATACATTATTTTATTCAATTAACATATGCAATTTAAAATATTTATTTTCTCCACCTAGGTTCATGATAGCAAAACTATTTTGCTGAATCTAATTATATTCTTTTCCTACCCTCCTCTGAAGTTTGTTTAGAAAATAAACTTGCGAGAAAAAAAAAAACTCTAAAGAAGATGATTTGCATAATCAAAAAGGTGAACAGAAGAAAGTTCTATAATAATTTCATATCTTCATCTTTTTTAGGATTCATGCCGTACTGGACGTATGATAGCACCGCATCCCAACCAAGTGTTATGATGTTGACGTAGGTGACACGTAGATACGACGGGATAAATGTGAAGTTAATAGCTTGAACAGCAGGCCAAAAGCACCAGTCCATCTGGGAAGAGGAGGATTAGAATTACCAATATCACCAGTGAGGAATTAGCATACAAACACCATTTTTTCCCCAGTGAAGCACATACATGAATTAACACTCAACAGAACCTGTAGCGGCATAAACGTTAATGTTGTAGGATAGTGTGCCCATAATGTTAAAAGTAGGTTTATTATGATGTAGTTATTGTTTTAGTAGACCATGCATAGTGAGGCAAGCTCACATGTATTTTTGACCTATGCAAGAATGAAAAAAAAAAAACAAGGCTAATGCTGTGATTGGTAACAAGTTGTTAGGGGAGTAGAAGATAAACATTTGAATAGTTCATCTGGTTTGTTTGCTTATTGTAGAACTGTTTAATCAATAATAAACCAACCACAATTTGATGTAAACTTACTGTGAAAAAGGAAGAATATATTTAACAGTTTTGTGTTAATTATGTGATATTTAGTAGTTTTTGTATCTCTCAGTAAACCACACAGCCAAGCAGTGTACATTACACAGACACACACACAAACCAATGAGCAATAGAGAAAATGCACAAAGGCTTAGAATATTCAATTGTAGCATCAAATTTTAGGATATCTGCTTATAAATGTTCTCATTGGCTGAGGCGAGACTCTTTTTATACCTTGTTTCGCGAACTTATTTTTTTTAAAGATCGTCAGAGGAGGGCGGAAAAAATAAAAATAAAATTTCGGTGTTTTATTGTTCAAAGAGTTTTGCCAAAAGCATCCAGTAAATGGGATGGTTAAATGCTTTAAATTTATATTAAATTAGGAAGAAGCTGAGGTTTGATATTGATTCAAACTGAATAATGGGTGCAGCTTTTAATAATTCAGATTGAAATGCAAATTTCAATTCAATTTAATTTGTTCCACATATTCAATATATGGTATCAGATGAAATGAGTATAGGCTTAAACACAACTATCATTACTTACAGTAATAACAAAAGTAACATACTGTAATAAAAAATGTAGGCCTAAATACCATAATAAGAAAAAATAAGTGTTAAAAACTACATCTAAATTGTTTTAACTATAATATTAATGTTCACTACTATGGTAATAAACCATAATATATTTCGTTTCAAAAACCTTACATAATATTCACATTTTATATTGTTTATTGCCAGAGAGGGAGCTAGCAGACACAAAGCCCATTAACTGCTAGCCTAGTAAATAAAAGTATACTGTACAGTATATATATCTGTCTCTTATACACATCTAGATGTGTATAAGAGACAGCTGGTATACTGTATAAATTAAAAGATATGTGAATACATCATCTGGTAACAATAAAATGCTCCTGTGTAATATCACACATTAGATTTGCATGTATTGAATAGGCCTAATGTAGACCTGTTGAAGATTGGAAGTACAGTAACCCCAAGGACCAGAGCATGTAAGTACACAACTTCACCGGTGAGCCTAAATCATTCACTAGATAGGAAGCATGCCACCCCTCCCCCCCTACTGCCTTTCTATCATGCTTGCATGAAATTCTCACTTTATACTATCTGGCTTTTTCAACCCTCACTCACTCGCCACTGAGGAAGGACTAGTGTTGTCCGAAAGCTCTGGTTCTATTTTTGGCTGTTTACTTACGTTTACTTTTTAGCTGTTGCTTATCATTTTTGTATCTCTACCGAGATCCAGCCATTGTTTCCAACAGCATTGTTGTTTTTCAGTATTTTGCCATTTAATCTATATATATATATATATATATATATATATATCCAAGGGTCCAATCCGTCAACATTCACATAATTAAACAAAATACTCAAGCAGATTGCAACCAGAAATACAAGCAATTGTATACATCATCAAAAAGAAAAAAAAAATCATGTATAAATATTGTTGTTACTTGTGCACTTAACGGTAATTTAATAAAGATAGTGAAAGAGATGATGTAAATCTTGATTTGATGTATTCCTTGTACAGTACTTAAATTCTTGTTTTATTTAAACACATGAGGTTTAATGGCACTGGGGAAAATATCCAGGGGGAGACCAGCCTAGATCCATCAGTAGAATTTCAATTATGACAATTCCCAACATTGGAAGCAATCAACCATGAAATATCCACCAGAAATACAAGCAAATTGTACACATCATCTTGGTAAAAATCTAAATCTAAGTATTCAAAACATTAGAGCAATTATTAAACCATGACACAAACTACAATCAGAACTATCAAGCAAAATTGACATTGCAATAAAAAGACAAGTCGATTATGTATACATACACAAATTGACATTATTATCTGACATAAATTAAACAGGAAATGCAGTTAATGGATAAATATTCCCAATGTTTTTATATGCAACAATCTATTCAAATCTGTGTATCATGTGCCTGCTAATTTATACTGTACTTCTTGATGGTGTCACTATGTTTGGTTAAAGCCATGGTAGCCAAGGCCCAATGTACAGCAAATACAGAGTAGGCAGTCTTATATTTACAAAAAAAAATGCATGATAGCATTTTTGAAAATATGTAGAATACTGCTAATGTATAATACTATATAGCCGCTATATTCACAGCTTTTATATTGCACTAAAAAAAACAAAAAACAAAAAAAAACAACCACATTTAATATTCTTCCTGGGCAATACCACACAGCGTGATGATGAAGATGCTAATTATGACACTAAATAATAATAATAACCATAACAATAATAATAATAATAATAATAATAATAATAACAATATGCGCTAAGTCGGACTTAGGGGGAATATCTTTTTTTTTTGTGTTATTTTCCCCTGAACGTAATTTTTTTAATTCTTCTTTAATGTCTTCATTCTCTACAGTAAGTTCCCCTTAAGTTAGGTTTTAGTAACATAATAATAAAAATAATAATAATAATAATAATAATAATTATAATAATAATAATAATGATAATAATAATAACAATAATATATTTTAATGCTTGTGGTACACCAGGTAGATAGTTCTGAAAAGAACTGTGTTTGTTGGGAAAGTCTCGACATTGATTCAATCGTCTTTAGGAGATAATAACAACAACAATAACAATCAATGGCAATCTAATAACAATAAAAAAAAAATCTAAACAATGGAACTGTCACTAGTATAGCCAATCATGAAAGAAAAGTCAGAATGTCCAGATACTGTAAAAGGATGAAAAGCGAGAAAATACAGCTATGAATTGTTGTATGGAATCAGTCATAGATAATTTTTTTTTCCATAATCATTTCACTTACCAGATAGAGAGTTGGGAATTTGCATTTGAAGTTTTCGATGTTTTCACTTAGTGGTTTACCTTCTAAGACACCTATCCCTACAGAATAAGAAAATAGATTATATTAAACCACAAACTGAAAACAAGACAATAGCATTGCAGTACCTGACTTCTACTCTGTGATCAGATTCAATATCAGTCACTAAGAGCAAGTTCAGTGGTCTAGTGGTTAATACACCGGGCTAGTTATCTGGAGGTCGTTGGCTTGATTCGCACCCATTATCGCTTGCAAGATATTTTTTCGATAGCCTTCAGTAGGATCAGTGGCGTAATGCTGGGGGACCTGTGGCTTTCAAAGACCTTTTGGATCCCGGTCATCAATTCCATTGTGGGATTTTTTAGATGGGCTCATTTTTTAATCATGTTCGTTATTTTATTCCGATTGTTTTAATAAACGAAGAAATAAAATAAAATGTATCAGTGTCGTTGTGTACTCGACGGTCGGCTGCCTTTAGGTCTACTTTGTCGTCAGTTTGCACCCAAAGGGTACACTACCTTCATGTAGACATTGTCGTCATATAGGTATGTGGTTTAACAGTACTACATTCACCTTCAAGTAGTCGTCGTCATACAGCCACTGCCCTGCCTTCACCGCATTGAAATAACAAATAACAAATTTGTAGCTAGAATACTAATACGACAACACAAATAAACGTCGCATGGCTATGGATTGGCAAAAAATGGAGCTCGAACGACAACAAATGGCGAAGTATTTTGGAAAGTATTTAAAACTTTTAGATGATTTTAAGCCTTCGCCAAAATGGCTAAGTTATTTTTTCGCCAACGCAAAATAGTTTTCGCCCATGGCATTCGGTTAGCATGAGCCCAGTAAAGAAATTCATTATCGGCCAACACCAAAAAAGGTCGCCACTGGCGACCAGACGACTGCTAATTTTCAGCCCTGCAGATTGCTTTGTTTATATATAAAATGGCTAAAGCAGTTGGTTACTTTTTCGCCAATGCAAAATAGTTTCACCCATGGCATTTGGTTAGCATGAGCCCAGTAAAGAAATTCATTATCGCCCAACACCAAAAAAGGTCGCCACTGGCGACCGGACAACTGCTAATTTTCAGCCCTGCAGATTGCTTTATTTATATATAAATTTAATAATAATCTCCTTCCAAGTATCTTCTCAAATTATTTTTAAAAATCTTACTCTGTTCATTCTTATGGAACCAGGTCCTCAAATATATATAGACCACAAAAATTTAAAACAAATCTTGCAAGAAATACAGTTGGAGGACATGGCTCCATTATCTGGAATAATATTGAAAACGATATTAGAAACTCGCCATCAATACATTCAAGTTCAAATCCAAAAGCATCTCTTGTCGTGTTATGATGGGTAATCTGTAAATTTATCCTATGTTTTTAACTCTGCAATTTTATTAGTACCGTAATCGTAGGCCTATGATGCGGTACTCTGTGCATATATATTAAAGTATGTACAGTCCGCGAGTTGCTTACCATTGCCAACATGAATTTGTATGTTTTGTTTCTGTTTATTGATTTCTTTGTTTTATTTTAAGGTGGCCATAATTCTACAAGCAATGCTCTACTTTGGCCACCGTCCACAATGATGTTATTTATAGTTTCATGACAGTATGATGATAATATTGTTTTCTTTTGTGGCGAAAGTATATCAGTATATGAATAGATCAAGGACCCTATGGGTGGGGGGTGCAGATCGCTGTACAAGTGTGCATTGTGTTACGAAAACATACTATGTGTTTTAAAAACATAATTCCTAAGAGAGTTATTGTTTGCACGTATATAATTATTCAAATCTACTCTTAAATCATTCCTCTTCAAATAGTTCAACTTCTTTCTAACATCCTCTAGCGCCGGTGACAAGCCAGTTTTGTTTGCTTTAATAGGCGCTTTAAAAATGTGTATTATTATTATTAATTAAAAGTTGTTATATAGTCAAGAATACATCTAACAAAGTACTCAGGCAAACTTGTTTTTCTATAGCCATAAATACTGTATATTTTTCCAGTGTTTCAATCTGCTCAATAAAAAAAATAGTGACTGAGTGCAACTCAAAACATAAGGAATGGTTTGGTTACAGAAAAAAAAAAAAAATTAGCATGGCCCACAACTTGAAAAATGGTTTGATGACCAGTGCTGAAAAAAAAAAAAAAAACGAAGTGAAATTGGTCATGCTGAAAGCCCTCTGTCTTTAGGTTTACTTGTTTCATAGTTTCTTTCCCAATGTTATACTAACTTTGTGTTTTTTCCATGGACAATGCATTCAATCTTCTTGAATACATCAATGTACAACAAAAACAAAAAAACCAGGCCTAACTGCAAAACATAAATTTTGTGCACTGATTATGAAACACAGTTTTGATATAAATAAAATGAAATGAAATAAAATAATTATTCTTCATTCCTTACCAATAATAAAACTTGCATTAAAGAAGGGAGCAGCCACAATCTGGTCCAGCAAAATCTTCTTGAGCACCATTCTCCCAGATGTTCCAGGTAAAAACCGATCTAAGTACAAATACCAATAGTGGTTGATCGGTCCAAGCATGAAGCCTATTGCAGCCATTCGACCTGCAGAGTGTGAATAGCATTCAACATGGAATTAGGACAGGCTACTGGGTGCTAAATACCATTCTCATAAACAACTTAACACTACCATTCCTGAGGAAAATGTGGTTTAGCACTAAGAATTACCTACCTTTCTTACACTTAGTTCTAGACTTGAGCATACACAGATTTGTGCTTGCCGTATTATTTTGGGAAGAAAGTTCTCATAGGAACATGCAGCCAAACAAATAACAATCTAGATTCCAAATTGGAATAATATTCAAGGAAAAACACTTTTTCTTTCCAGTCAACAGAAATGTGGAATGAGCTACCTAATGAATTAAATATGTATAAATATGGGTATAACTTTTAAAATTGTTGTTAATTAACTCTATATATTATATATTGTACTGTATATATTTTTGTTATGTTTAAATTGTACCACTTTGAACGGAAGATCAATATTACTGGAATTGTCTACAGTATAAAGAAAGAATCAATACATATTAACATGCTAGGGCTCTTTATAATCTTTGGATTTTAAGATTTTTATGCTAAAATAGTTAATGAAAATTTGAGAAAACATTTGTCACTTCCCCAACATACCATACATACATGCAGTAGAAAGGCGACATGTCTAGAGAGGTAGGTAAAAAGATAGCATAATAACCCACTTGCAGCATCATTGTGCTGAACTGCGCATAGGTATGGTCCATGACCACCTTACGGCCGTAAAGAGGCGCTTGTAGTAGATGTTCAAATCATTCCACAACGACAGGGCTAAAAAGAACCATAGCATCGGGGTATCCCCTACTCTTCCGAAAGACGCAATGGGTTCTTTAAAGTGCACACAAGCCACAAGTGTATACCTCCATTTTAAGACCTTATTGGAGAGGAAACTTGTTTCTTCCTACCTCAAACCACTGCCAAAGTTAAGGATCTAGATAGCAGCGGCCCTGCCTTACCGCTCAGCCACTGGACTTGGGGCTACTTGTCTAGGGGGAGGCGATCCCTACTACCTACCTGTCCTCTTCCAATCGTAGCTGTGACTTGAGTGCAGTTTACCCTGGGCTACATCGTTCTTCTTGTTTCGTCTTATCTCTCTGGTTTGTTCTATGAGGTCGCCTACACCCAGTAGTGAACAACATGTCACAGTGTTTGTAACCAACAAGTACTTGGAAAACAATTTCTTAACAAAAGATGGAAGTGTTGTTGAAGACATCAAAAGCTAGTTGGCTGGTAGATTCTCAAAATTAAAATGCTAAAAAGACGGGACTTGCTTGTTCGCTGCCCTTGCTCACTTACTCAATCTGTTCTTCAAACCTATAAAAACCAATAAGGAAAATGCAACCACATGTTTCAACAATCTGATCAATGACGAACACGCTTTTGTAGCAAACCCATCTTAGTGTAATAATAGATACGATATAAAAACATATAATTTCACATATTTCGCGACAACATTTTCGCAAAAACTCTTCATACTTTAAATTCCCCAAGCCTATCTTCCATATTATTGCAAGATCGGCCAAATCGCGTCACAAACGAAGGAAGAGATAGAAAAATAAATGACTTCAAAATTCGCTCAAAATCATCATATACTGTAAGCCCTCTCTCTCAGAGAGAGGGCTAAAAATAGGGCGAATTGTTGCACAACAGAAAATGTTGCCTGTCTTTAATAATTAGCCAATGGATATTAAGGAATTCATACAAATTAAATAGTTTAAAATGCATACTGTAGAATTAGTGGCTTAGCCTAGGCCTTAATTGTATTACTAGCTCTAACAAATTCTGGCAATGGTCCTGTAGCGCAAGAAGAGAGTAGCTAGGCCAGTGCTAATTCACATGTAGAACGCAGTTTGAGCTTTTTGCTCTTTTTGAGTCAGGGATATATATGCTTTCAAACTCGTTTCAAACTCTGTGCGCAGCAATTTTCGTAAAATGTGACATTTAAATTTATTTATTGATAGTGATATTAACATATTATTAGATATGGTGCAACATAATGTATTTTTTGGGAGATAATACTGACTTTTTAAGCGATTGGAACATTTGCAGTGGTAGAAATATAGCATGCGTGTGGGATACGGTCAGTAGCTGAATGGGGAAAAAAAATTGTATGTACAGTATTGCTATATGACGGATATTTCATTTTTTAAAATTTTTTTTATTTCTGTATTTTTTTTTTTTTTTTTTTTTTTTTAAATCATATTTTTAACCTTAGTTAATTCATTGCAATTCAGTAATGTGATGCATTACTGTAATGCATTAACTGGTGAGAAGATTCAATAAATTAATATACCACGATATAAGTCATCATGCTATTACAAGTTTAAAAAATAAGACCCCCAAAAAACCATAACCGCCAAACCCCCCTTTCATTCATGTCAAATCCCCACCAACTTTCCGCATCCCCACCCACCGCCTCCTGATTGCTCCCCACTACACAATCCACACGTCCATTGGAACCTGACAATTCTGCAATTCGAAGATAAGCCACCCATTGACAGAATAATAAATAGTATCAAAAAGTGCATATCCATTGAAGTGTGCACCAGGTACTAGGTATGTTTGTGCATTTTCAAACTGTGCAAAAAGAATTAATTGTTGTTGCAAAGATTCTAAATTGTGAAAGAAAGAATTCCATGCACAGTTTAATCTGTGCAAGGAAATCATGCACACATTGTGCAGAGGCCTCAATGCAAGACAAGAATATAGTATTACAGCAGTAAAACAGATAGTACGGCCCGGTGGGGAATATATCCTCTGCACAAAAATTTGGCCTTGAAATTCGTCCGCACATTTGGGAAAATAAGGGCAAATTTCCGCACAGATTTTGCCAAAAATTTGGCTTTTACGTAATCTTTAAATATATAAACAATGTATCACTTGTATGCAAAAATTACGATTTTACCCGCCTATTTTCTTAGTGATTATCCAAACAAATTTGAGTTCGTTTTTTAGGTAAGGTAGCCCTATCATCCGCGCAATAAATAAAAAACTTTAGAGTACATATGACCAGACTGTAAGGCCTGCCAGGAGAATATATCCTATATAGCCTAGAAATCAATCCAAGCATTTCGGAAAATAAGAGCCGAATTACACGCATGTTTTGCAGAAAAATTAGGCTTTGGCCAAATCTTTAATACAGGTATATGCAATTCAATTAGGCCTACTGTAGGCTAGAGTATGCAGCAATTAGAATTCCACGCACCCATTTTCCAAGCGATTTTCCTTGCAAATCTGGGCTGATTTTTTAGCTATCCCATGTGCAATTAAAAAACTTTACAGTGGCAATTGTTGATACAGCAGATAGCTGCTCTACAGGCCTAGGCTAAGGGCGGCCTATATGACTGGGCAGGAGTCAGTCAAAAGGCTTCTCTACTATTAAATTATGCTACTGTAGGCCTAGGACTAGGAGGACCTACTTACAGGCCTAGATATCTATGATGGGCCTAGCAAGACAACCAAGGAAGGCAGGCATAACTAGCTAGGCCTAGAGCCTAGCCCTAGTATGGTAGCTAGGCTAGCCCTAGAGTTCGAAAGAGGAGAGGCCTTGCAGTTGTACAGCATGCAGTAGGTTAGGCGGATCAGATTCGATCCATACATGGACACCGTGTAGGCCTAAAGTAGCCTCCATCAATAGGCCTAGGCCCTAGGCCTTAGATCAAATCCTGTACCTCACACAAACGCCCGAATAATTAAGATGAGAATAACTACCATGATCGTATCTTGTAATTTCTACTTCTGCCAAAAGTAACACCTAAGAAGGCACCAAACTTAAATTAAATCAAGTGAGAAATTGCATCATCCCCCACTGACTTGAGGAGGCTTAAAGCACAACAGACAACACGTGTAGCTCCACAAAAACACAAAGCAGAGGCACTTCAAAAAGAGGGCTCTCAAACTCAAATATGCCTACGCTTTTTCCACGATTGTTGAAGTGCGTGACGACAAACAACCCAGGACGGTGGTGCGTAACCAACAAAAATAAGATAAGCTTTGAGGCTAATTCATAACTCAACGGAGCGTCGTATCACATTATTTTTATTTCTGGAAAATGTTCTTAAAAACTAGGTCTATTCTACACCACTAAATGATTAAAATAAAAAAAATAAATTAAAATTAAAAGTTTTGACTTTTGAAATAAAAATGGAAAAAGAAGAGCATATCTAAAGAGTGTATTAAAATAGGCAGTACTGTACAGAAAGTAAAGCAGTTACTGTTTCAGTTAGGCCTACCGTATGACTTTAGAGATATTCCTGTGTTCAAAACATGAGTTACTATACTTCTTTCTAAAATATAACTTGGTAGGTTATAATAAAAAACCTCATACGGTAACTGAAACAGTGCTGGCTTTTCTAGTCCAATCTACTACGTACTGGATGGTGTATTCAAATAAGCATACAGTTGTACAGCATGCTTATTTTAATACACTATATAGATAGGCTCTTCTTTTTCAGTCTTAATTTCAGAGGTCGAACAATTTATTTATTTTTTTTCTATCATTATAATGGTTTAGAATAGTGTTTTAAGAACATTTCCAGAATAAATGGATGCGATATGACCTTCCGTTACAGGAGTTATAAAAATCAATTTTCCAAAAACGTGGCCAACACAGGTATATATACTGTCTCTTATACACATCTAGATGTGTATAAGAGACAGCAAGAATATGTCTAAGTAAGATTTCAGTTTCACTATGTCATAAACGTGATTTATTTACTTCAATTTATGTACTCATTTGTTTGTTCGTCCTTTCGTTATCATTATAAATAAACTGTTTAATGTATTTGTATAATTGTAAATAAAATATTACATAGGCCTACATTATTCAATATAAATACATAATATAATAGCATGTATAGTAGCATTCCGATAAATGAATATTAATGACTAAATTAACGTAAATTAAATAGACCATAGTTTGATATTAAAATCTATTCTTTTTTACATTGTTATGTATAATATATGTGATGTTTTCTAATAGTTTTCCCTATTTTGATAGATTTCAATACATTTCCGCGTATTTCATATATGCATATATAAAACTGAAGATATTAACGGCGTTCCATGACGGTTATAAAATCGTCACCTTTTGATCGTCTAGAATTTACCATGTTGAAATTAGGTTTTATACGTGAACTCTCCGTTCATGGGGACATGCGAGGATCGGGTACGTAACTATATCCGAATGTTAGCGGACGAGATATACCTTGTAAAATAATGATGAATAATAATTATAATGATAAAAATGATAATGATGACGACGATATTGATGGTAATAACAAAAACAACAAACAACAACTACTACTACTACTACTACTACTACTACTACTACTACTACTACCACTACTACTACTACTACTAATACTACTACTACTACTATTACTACTACTATAAATAATAATAATAATAATAATAATAATATTAATAATAATAATAATTATAATAATAATAATAATAATAATAATAAAAATAATAATAATAATAATAATAATAATAATAATAATAATAATAATAATAATAATAATAATAATAATAATAAGAATAATGTAATTTACATACAATATCAACATATGACATTTCAAAAGTACAAAACACTCAGGGTTAAAAGTCAAAATGCAAAAATAAGGAAACTAGGACCGGATGTGATTCAGACCGCATACCGTCTCCCATCAAAACTACATAAAAATGGCTAAACTCTTTTGTATGTTATATTAAATTTCATGCGACAGACAATTCTGAGGACTATAGTACAAGATATTTTGAAATATCGTACTTGCTGTTGGCCTACGTTTTGGAGTATTTTACAGAAATCCCGTTCTCTGTCGATTGTTGGTTCTGGTCTTGTCATTTTGATTTCGCAAGATTTTATCGCGTCGCATCAAAGCCCACTTCTGTAGCCTACATACAAGGTAAGCCAAAACGCAGTTACACCTATAGTTTTAAATTTCTTATTGAAACATTTTGTTAGATTTTCATTTGGCGGGCCGCGCCTACTACTGGTACTGGTACTGCTGCTACTGCTAATGCTACTGCTACTGCTACTGCTACTGCTACTACTATTACTAGTACTACTGTTATTACCCAGTGCTACAGTTGCTACCTATACTACTACTAAATTGCCACCATTACTACGGTACATTACTGTGTAATAAGCTATGTTATAAATTAATCGTTTGCTATGAACCAAAGCGAGCGCCATAGTATTGTAGCGTCTCTACTTTGTATTTAAACAGCAATATTGAATTTGTATATAGGCCTATAATCATTTATATTTCACTTGTAAACTTACTCTATATATTAGGCCCTATCATAGGACAGTAACTGTATTCAGCATTTAATGTCAATCAAAGGACAACAACCTGTTTTCCTCATGGTACCAGGAAATAAGATTACATACAAGTCAGGAATGTGCCAGGATGACTTTCCCACTTCTCTAAACTTAAACAATGACATCATGTATTTATCCTTAATTCCTATTGGTTAGTCATTACCTCATCTTCGGTATATTCCCAAATATGGTAGGATGCTACCCCAATATAACAGAGTATTCCTACTGCTATTTACCACACACATTCAAATCGTTTTTATACGGATTACTACCTCATCTTTACTTTGCAATATTTTGTCTTATTTTCTTCATCGATAGCCAAGTGTTTTTATAGCTTACATTAAGCATTTTTCACTTGAAATAAATTTTATCTACGGTACCGTATACAAGTTAGTTTGTTGTATTCTTTCCGTTGCGCCATACAACTACTAAAGTATATTGGATAAGAAATTTTGTTTCATTGCTCTATGACATCGTGGAAATCACAATTTTCGTGAAATTTTCGGGATATTTTAAAAAATCGGGAGATTATTAATAAACAATCGGGAGGGCGGGAGACGGCCTCAAAAATCGGGAGAAACCCGCGATTTTCAGGAGACTTGGGATCTCTGCTACTGCTACTGCTACTACTACTATTACTAGTACTACTGTTACTATACCCAGTGCTACAGTTGCTACCTATACTACTACTAAATTGCCACCATTACGGTACATTACTGTGTAATAATCTATGTTATAAATTAATCGTTTGCTATGAACCAAAAACGATGTTGATGAAATAATATCATTTAAAAATAAATAATAAATAAATAAAATAAGAAAAGGAAGAAATCGTTTCCGGATTGGGATTCTATTTGTGATGATTATGGTCACACAGAATGTAACAACAAACAAATCCCACAATTAATATGTTTAATATCTTATCACTGCAAAACTCGATAAGATATATGGTACAGTAGCAGTTCCATTTCTTTATTCTACGATTTCCTCTTAAACCTTTTTTTTTCTTAACGAAAAATGAGACCCTTTGTTTCACTTTTTCTGACGTGCAACATGGTTGTAGCTTCAGTTGTTATCTCTTTTGATTTGGTTCTTGGTAAATTAATTGAGTCTGAGTTAGTAATGAGGACAAAATAAATTGCATTTGAACTATCAACAAACTAGTGGCCCCATTTCTTGGAAATCCCCTTGGTTCTTAATGTGAAAAATGACTGATATACTGGCTAGTTTATTTAGCTACATGTTGGTTAGAAATAACTTGTAGGCCTATTTGCAAATAAATACAGTACATTTATATATAGAATAAGTGGAAGAGGTTGGCGCATCGATTGTGGCTTGGACTCCCAAACTTGAGGTCCGGGGTTCAAAACTCTCTCGCTATGTGCAAGTCACTTGTGTCCTTGGCAAGGTACTTTATTTACGTTTGTTTCATGAGTATAAATGGTAGGATGCTGTGGCATTGAATGTTCTGGTTTCGTGCGCTAAAGAAGTAGCGAACGACTAGAGATATTCCCTAGGAAGCAGAGAGAGTTGCAATTTGCTGGTTTGCCATTGCTCTCGCCTTTGATCATTCATTGATTTGTCAATTTGGAATTGGCGCCTTATAAATGTTTGAGTATATAATATATATATATATATATATAATATATGTGTGTATATATATATAATATATTATATATATATAATATATATATATCTAATTATTTATATATATAATTATATATTTATTTATATATAAGACCTATAATATACAAGATACAAGATTCTTTTATACATGTTAAGTTTTCTCTTCCCGATTCAAAATTAGTAGAAGTTAGCCATAAAATAATCAAAGGACATACAGAGTCTAAAAATGTAATGTGAATTGATTTGTGAATAAACGATCTTCTCAATATGTTTGTATTAGGCCTACACTTTATGGACGTACAGTATACGACCGGTTCTATTGAAGGTGTATTGCAAGAATTTAGGATGGGACCGTATTATATGCACGATGCATATGTGTGTATTATACTTAAAAATACTAATACTGAATATCTTTATTTGCGTGATTTTCACGTTTTAGATTACCGAAATCCCAGCAATTCTTAGTAGAGGTTTGTAATTTTTTTTTTCAATTAAATTGTATTTGATTTATTCGGTGATACCTTCAAGAATAACCACGAAAAATCCGACATTTTTCCAATGGGGTTCTATAGGTAGCGATTGGCCAGTGCAGCACGGGAGATAATCCCTACTCATTTCCGAAGAGTGTACTGCTGTGCCATATTCACACGGGACCAACAGCTTTTCCGTCTCTTACGAAAGATAGTGCCTTGCATTTCAGCCCCACAACTGAAACATAAGGAGGAGAGGAGAGCAGCCGATTGTATGTTAAAAATCTTCACAGGTTAGCACACACACACAGTGTGGCTACCGCTAGTTTAGTTCTGATGTTTCTCTCTACACAGGATTTGGAACTACAAAGGTAAAGTTTACACTTGACAGTATTTTGTCACGCATGAATTAGGATGTAAAAACTGGTAAACTAAATGTGACAATCAAACAACAAAGGTAGGTCAATATGGACTTTACTCAATACGTACACAATAGAGTTTATTAAATTCCAGCACGGTATTGTAGGCCCTACAATGGTTTGCTTTTTATAATCTATATAGTTCTTCCTAATCGTTAACCAAACCTTCTTATAATCAAATAATTTATTTCCACAAAATAAACGAAGTGAAGTATACAACGTGAATATTGAAAGATTAATAACAGTGGGGGATCCAGGAATTTGAAATAGAAGGGCTCAAAATATAAATAAATAAAAAGCAAACTATGTTAACAACCAATTAAGTACCATTAAGAAAGGTACAGTTTGCAATTAGACATATCTTTGCATGTTCATCTAAACTCGTTTTCCTATTAAAATAATAATGCTGTTGGTCGCTCTTATTCCACTTGATATATTTTTTCATCTTTATAGTATGGGATGATAATAATAATAATAATAATAATAATAATAATAATAATAATAATAATAATAGTAGTAGTAGTAGTAGTAGTAAGAGTAGTAGTAGTAGTAGTAGTAATCGTAGTAGTGGTAGTATTAGTAGTAGTAGCAGTAGTAGTAGTAGTAGTAATGATACACAGTCTTCACTAATTACCGGTATGTCCGTATACATTAAAGTGTTACCGGATCATTTTAGTTGTCATTTTCATTTAAATTATTTATTCAGACAAGTGATGCTGCATTTGCGCCCTAAAAGCTATTAAAAAAAATCACCGTGATGAAAGTTTGGAGCCTCCAGTAATCTAAACCTAACTACATGCTTAGCTACTATATAAAATATAAGTTTGGACATGTTAATAAAGTAAAAGGCCAAGTTAAATTAAAAATGATATATTTTTTATCGGGAGATACCAGTACGTTATACTATCAACATATCAATAGTATAATAAAATGATTCGAATTCAGATAATGATTCTGAGCAAGCAAGATTATAAATTAGACTTATTTAGTGAAGTTACTTATTATTCATATAGTACATACTAAAGTTAAATACCTGTCTCTTATACACATCTCACCTATACATAATATTACCAAATGATCGATGACACAATAAACCACTAATAAAATTTAAAAATATGACGATACTTTTGAGAACGATCATTTCAGGCAATGCCTGAAAAAATTTAATAAGGCCTAGCCATTGCTAGGCCTTACGCTACATACATATTTCGACAGATCCTACTGTCATCATCAGTGTACCGAGATTCCATATAGGCAATCTTATTTAAACGAAGTGAAGTTTGTAACTCGTAAATTTATACGTAATTCAACCGTATCAAGTTGTAAACACCAAGATCATCAATAAAAACAATGTATAATTAATGGTAAACGGAATGAAGTAAAATCAGAATGACAAAGTTAGATTAACATGGTAAAGTTGTTTGTTGAGTGAGGGCTGCTCCCATTGAATATGTAATGCCTCCTTTATTTTGAGATGATGAATTGATGGGGCGGAGTCAAGAATACGGAAACAGTCCTTGCTTCAAGTTTGCATGCATTTGCAATAATAATAATAATAATAATAATAATAATAATAATAATAATAATAATAATAATAATAATAATAAAATTATATTCAAATGTACATTTTTATAACAGTGGCACACGCCAACATTAACGGTACTATCAAGCCAAATATTGAAATTTAGTGACCGTTTGGTAGAGAGGCAATTTTCCTGCTTCTTGTGCTAAGGACCCTGGTTCAAATCTGGCCAATTGGAGTCAGTCGCTCAGTTTCTGTCCTCGAATAACCCACACAAGAGACACGGGGGGGTGGGGGACAAGGTACACATATTATGGCCGCCGTCGCAATTTCTCAAGTTTGGAATTATGACAGCGATAACAAAAAAATAAATAAACCAAGGTTCATAGCCCCATTCCATTGTATTCTTTCTTCGTAGTGTTGTTGTGATTATTGATTTTTCACCTGCAACGTACGATTATTAGTACAATTGCTGATCGCGTCATCAGAACAAATCTGATCTTGTTGCAATTCGTAACTAGTAACTATACGTAAAACCAGTTGGATTATTATTCCTAATCGGATGAGAAGTTACACAAGGTTTGCAAACGTTTGTTAAGGTATATTTTAATATCATTGTTTTTGTTTGTTTGATGAACATACAACAGTGCAAGTGACGCTTTTGAACTGGGTGCGGCTCACTCGTATTTTACTTGCTAACAGCCATGGAGGTCTGTGAATAAGAAATATGGATTAGAATACTGTATTGATATCAACTACTCACTACTCCATACTACCAGTGCTGCTAGTGCCATTGAGACTGCTATTACTAGATGTATATATAAACGGTATTCAATTCAAATTAACATACATATTGGCAGGAATGCTGAATCGTAATAGTATTTACAATAGGCCTGTTTATATAAATATAGCAATACTTAAAAGTAGTATACTGTATACTTAGGCCTACTACTACAGTGCCACTACCACCACCATAACCACTGCCATCTTAACCACTACCACCAGGATTTGCCCGACGGCAGCCCGACAGGGGTCCAGGTCCCAAGAGTGGGGGGGGTGGGGAGGGGCGGGCGATGTCCCCGACGAAAACCGGTGGGCGTGGTAGAGCGCGTCGCTTAAAAATCTCTTTTGAAAGTGTTCTAGGGGGAGAATCCGCCGAACAATATGACAATTTAGGAATTTCAAAAGGCTTATATAATCGATATTGGAGTCGGTAAACCGGTATGTAAATATACAGTTTTTGTCTCCCAATGTTTTTTTGCCCTCGCCGCTGGCGCTACCCCTGACTTTTCTACTACTACTGCTGATGCTGCTGCGCTGCTACTACTACTGCTACTACAACAACAACTACTACTACTACTACTACTACTACTACTACTACTAATACTACAGTAATACTCTACTACTACTACTACTACTACTACTACTACTACTAATACTACAGTAATACTACTACTACTTCTACTACTACTACTACTACTACTACTACTACTACTACTACTACTACTACTACTACTACTACTACTACTACTACTACTACTACTAGGTATTAGGAATGAAAAGAAAGGAAAGAAAAAAAGAAATGAAATAGAAAGATAAAATAAGGAAAAATAAAGAAATAAGAGGTAAAGAATTTACAGGAGAGTAAAGCAAAATATAAGATAGGAACAAATAATTACAGTAAAGAAAATACAGGAAAGAGAAGAAAGGAAATAACATGGAGAAAAGGAAAAGACAGTTAGGAAAGATAAGAATGGAAATAATTATTGAAAATGAATTACCAAACAGATCAAAGAAACTTGAAATTTTTTTCAAATGATTCATAACTTATAATAAATCAAATTAATATTATTAATATAGTTAATACCATTTATATATTAGATTAGGTGAATCATTAAATTATCTCAATTTGGGCTGCAAAATCGCATAGAGTTATACAATTATTATTATTTTGATTAAACAATAGAATATTTTGTAGATAACATTCAGTTTTTCATGTTTTTTGTGTTTGGCAATTGTTTGTACGCAGGTCTCTCATCACAATATGCAGTCTTTTAACGCCAACATAATATCAATGGCTGCCGAATGTCTGAAATCAGACGGCTACAAGTACCAGTACCAGTAGGCTCCAACTACCTCTTGATTTGTTAGATTCATGGAGTACCACTAATAATTTCAAACCTAATCTTAAAAAAATGTGAAGATCTGTAAATTAATTTTGGCAAAGGTTATCCTGCACCTCCTCAACTGAGTATATTAATGGTACACTATTGCACGTTGTAAAACATGTTGGGAGTAAGTTTACAATCTGATATAGAACACCCTCATTAAAAAATTAATGTGGAAATCAAAGAGAAAATGTATGGTTCCTAAAACAAGAACTAACAGGAATTGCATACTGAGTACAAAAATTGTTTTCGACTGACTATGAGAATATGCATGCCCAGAATACTATAGCTTACTGTAACTCATAGAAATAAATTTATAGTCATATAAATAAATTATCTAAAAAAGAGTTTGCCTAATAGGGTATGAAGGAGCATAAAACCAAAAAATAAAAAACTACCCACTTTTTAAATAGCCCAATACTATATCTCACTCATGTATTGAATAACAGGGACAATTATCAATATTGTTTTAAATGTTATTCTCCACCCCGACCCCAATCATCCCCCGGTATTTATTCTATCTCTTTTTACACTGCATGGGGGTTCGGACGTATTCTGATCTAGTCAATTACTTTCATTTTTTTTAATTCACATATTTCTTTTTATTGATGATTTTCTGCTCAAACCTTTCTATACTTTTATAATTTTATATCTATTCTTATTTTTTTAAAATTTAACGTTAAATTTGTTTATATTGTCTGTTTTATTTAATGTTTAACAAATTTTTACTTTAAATTGCATTTTTATTTGTATATATTCTTAATAATTATTCCCGTAATTATTGTAGGTCTCATTATGCAATTTTAAATTATTTTTTTTTTGTCCTTTCTACTGTCATGTTATTATTATTATTATTATTATTATTATTATTATTATTATTATTATTATTATTATTATTATTATTATTATTATTATTTTTATTATTATTATTATTATTATTATTATTATTATTATTATTAGTATTATTATTATCATTATCACCATTATTATCAGTATCAGTATCTTCATCATCATCCTCATCCTCAACATTATTATTATTATTATTATTATCAATACTTTAAACTCGATGATTTTTTTTTTCAGGAATACCTGAGCTGGAAAGAAATAAACAGATAAAATGGAAGGTAAACAAAATGAAAATTGATTTATATATACATTTTTGTTTGTAATAAATATGAAAAAAATTTAAGTTATGTATTTAGGTATTTAGTTTACTTGTTAACACTGAAGACCACTAATAATAAATATATATA